TTGTTTGGCCCCCAAAATGGTGAGATTTTGTAAATCCTTGCCAGGATCAACTCCCTGGGTCTTTAAGCTTTCATATGAGAGCAGAATGGCTAAAAACTACGGTTGAAAAATGGTCCTAAATGCCCGAGAAAGTTGAGGGTTGCCACTTGAAAAATTGCTGCAATCAGACTTCGGAAAAATCTCTTTGGGGGGTAATTTTGTTTTGTGGGAATAATTAAAAATGTAATTCGTTAACCCACAAAAAATTGAAAAGAAATTGAAAGATTAGTGACCGGACAAGAATTTCATTTGTGTTTCAGAAATCTCAGGGATGTTGGCGTGCATGTTATTGGTCCCTGAACAGTGCTGATTTTACACTGTTTTCAATGGGGCTTGAATTAGTGGACTAGTACCCCTGAAGCATCCGGTTGGGACGTTTGTGACCCGGGTGTACATGTAGTTCCCTCTTTTAGCATTCACAGATTTCAAGACGGTATAGAAATCGCCCGTAAAAGCACGGTTTGACGTCAACTTTTTTGTCCACATTACCTTTCGGAAGCAATTCTCTGAAAATTAAAATAATAATGAGGATTAACCACAGGACGAAGGTGGACAAAACTAACTGACTAACCACACTGGAATGTTGAACTTGAAAGCGAGGCTGACTGTTTAGGTTCACCTTGACCGTAACTGCCGTAGCATAATATTGCGTGCACTTTCGCGGAACTTCACACTTAGTGAACCCGGAACGTGCTGTAAGTTTATTCTTCAGCACGACTGTTTGGTAGACAAACAGGTTCGTTCCACACTGGTAACTCGCATGCAAAGACTGGAATGAATCACTATTAGCAGATAGAATCCGGCTGCCGAACTTAACAGGCAGAATATATTAAATTTCGATCTCGCGAAGACTACAGCCGTTTATGTTTTCTGCACGAAGACAAAACAGACTGTGCCTGAAGTCACGATGAAGGGCAGTATTGCTTCGATCGTTCTTTTCGGCTGTGCCGTCATTCTCATATCTGGAAATCAAGGTAAATTCGCTCAATATAGGAAGTGACACGAATTGGCCTGTGTGTTTAATCACATAGACCACTAGGTGTCCCTTATGTGTTTCGCTTTCACTACAGCCACGTCTGCTATGGAAAACTACACGCGATTCGCACTCTTCCGCTTCCGTTTTTGGAATCGAAAACTGTGATTCTTGGATTATTGTAAGAACTTTTAAACGTGACGATTAAGAAATGGGTCTTTGCCGTGTGATTGAAAATAATGCTTGTACGCTGGGACAGTGTGAAGTTAGGGAAGCCATCACTATGCTTCTGCCGCCTTTGTATTGAGGCAGAATTAGGCGAATCGCAGTAACCATAGAGCTCGTCACCGATATTTGGGTTTAATCTGACTGATTTTAATGGTTACATAGTTTGGCACTTTTGCGGTCGCATATAAACTTGCACACAAATAACAGATAGTTTTTCACCCCACAGCTGCCCTTGCTGAAAGCGAAGCAAATGGAGGCGAAAACCTAAGGGTAAGTCAAGTACCCTGCAAAAAATGGTGTTAAATTGATACCTGTAGGTTACATAGGTCAACACCAGACCAATGTAGTGTCAAATTGACACCACTTTTTTGTAGTGCATGTGTGGTCATCGCAGGTTGGATTTTTGTAGCAAACTGACTCCACACACCTCAGGTATCAACTGGCTTCGCTCATCTGGTGATGCCCCCCCCAAAAAACCCAACTGTCGTGTCAGTTGGAAACCGAAAATGAACTTATAAAATCAATTAGCATGGTAAAACCTCACCGTAGGCACATTGGAGTTGATTTCTAACCGAGTGCCCTGAAATAAATGAAAGTTAAATGAATGAGTGAAAATGATGAAGAATTATTACATACTTTATGCAACAAACTGGCAGAAAAATGGCTCTGCACACTTGATCACACTGCAGTTATAGGTCACTGTGTGTATTGCTTCCTTCCATTTCGAGGCTATTGCAAAGAGTTGCCGGGAGGTGCTTTGGTGGAGTGCCACTGGAAAATTCATCAGATTTCTCCTAAAGATAAAGAGTGTTTTGAACCGTTTGTTTGACAGAATTCCAAAGAGTCTCGAAAAAAGATCACTGTGGGAAAACTTCTGGAGAAGATAATGAGCCCCTCTAAGGTGAGAGGACCACCCCTTTGAAACAAGTGGAACAATCCGATCCACTCTCTGGATTACGTTATTTTCTGTGGGCAAAATTACCAACGGAGTTGGTTACCAACGGAGATAGTGGGTATCAACCCCATGGCAAAGTGTGTTTTGAGTGTTGTTGACAAGCAATACCAGTACAACTTACAGTATAGTACCCAGCACATTAAGAGTCTGGGTACGGTACCTACCGTCGGCTTTATTTTTGAAAAATGATACTTATGAAACACGTTGCTTTTGGTGGACGCCGTGTTTGTCGATATCTATTTACCCCCTATAGGTCACGTGACACAGCGGGCGCAATCGGTCTATTAATAAATAGTGGGGTTGTCAATAGTACCGGTATGACAAAAGTAGATTGGATTGGAGTGGATTTTGGCAGAAGGATTAGCTTTATGAAGCATCAGCTTTGGGTTTGGCTTTCTTTTGTTTTTCATATTTTTTAAAAGCCATCGTATTGAAAAAAAAATCGTGTCTTTTGGGGGAGGGGTGCAGGAAGTTTGAGGGGTGGAGGGGTTGCCGAGGTATGGGTAGACTGATGGTTCTTCGTCTGAAATTTCTCAGAGAATACGACGGGGCGTGTCGACAAGTAAAGACGACGAATCGAGACCCATTTGCCCCGACTGGCAGGAGGGTGCCGAGGCAGAGCCCAGCAGCATGTGATACCCGTCGGAGATCGAGCCCATCGACGTGGAACCTTGGCCGCAAGTCCCCCGGCCTCTGCCCGTGTAAATAAAGACGCGCGAGGGCGGTCTTCTCCCTCCACACGGTCAGCTTCAGCCTAGCCGTGCCGGCGCGAGTCCCTTGCGATGTGTATATACATGTAGGCTTTTAGCGACCAGCACAAATCTCCAAATTCCAAAGAGTGAAAACTCACTTCCTTCTAGAGGAAATGTCACAAAACTCACCACCTCCAAGTGGATCTTGTGACAAGACGAAATTCGAGTGAAATCCCCACATTCCAATATTTCGACATTTCACACCAAGTTCTCAAAGGAAGTGGTTCTTTTTCAAGCTACTTCAGTCTAACTTAGGAGTGGTTTTTACTCCCAGTCATCAAATCCTTAGTCTCAATACAATGTAGTTAGAAATAAGAGAGCGGTCTACTGATCGTTTCGACAGCAAAATGACTTTGAATTGTGTCATTTGGAGCGTAAAAAGGGTCCCTGTAGTTGTCGAAGGTTAGGTGGCCTAACTATTGTAAAATTTATTGGGGGAACGCGGAAGTGCCCCCTTTTTTGAAGGAGACACTGAAAGCACATTGAATATGTCTTGAGGAGGAATATTCCCCAGGGCCATAGCCGAGCTGCTAAAGAGAAAAGCACCAACTTCGGACTTTGGAACCAAAATGGTGTTCATTATTACAGTACAGCATGAGTGTACAGTGTCCCAACTGTCCATGTGCACTGACGCATAATCCACCATATTGGTTCCAACCATTGAGACACTCATGTCGCAACTTTCTGTAAAAAAGCTCTGCCCTGCAAGCCCCTTTCCGTAGTTAGACCACTGTGTGACACGTTTTTAATGTGTATAGGATGTTACTTCTACAGGACACCTTTTTATTCTCGGAACGAATTTCTGGAATTATTTTAAGTAGGCCTACTACACTTACTGCAACTTTATCGAATGTAAAAGATTTACCTATATAATGATGTCCCATTTCCTTAATTCGCAATGTCAAGGAATTATTGGGGGTGGGTAGTGCACCCACATTTGTGAGTTGATGCGGCTGTTGTTAGGCAAATCGATTGTACTAATTTTATGCGCACAGTGAGAGCGCAATTTTGTATTATTCATAAGTTGTTGGGTTGCGATTTGTTTTCTCCACCCAGTGCATTCGTCCACATGACCCGTTTTAGCCAATCCGCAAGGAGCTGAAAATGGAGATAAAAACTGACGAATGGGCATTTTGTGAAGAAAATACAGAAACAACCCGTTCAACTTTTGCAATAAATTTGTTCGTGAAACTTCTTTATTAAGCTCAGAGAATTTTTTTAATCACAGTTTAAATTTCAGGAACAGGAATGCGCTCAGTTTGAGGAGGAGCGTTCGCGTTCTCGCCCCTTTTTGTCCTTCCTCCCACTGCTGCTTCATTATGCACCAAAACAAAACAGAAGGTTTTACTAATGCGTTGAGCCACGAGGAGAATTCAATCCATTGTCTAGCGGTGGCTAGCTATCTACATCTGCATGAGCATAAAAGCTTTCTTCCTGGTCCAAGCTAATGGATTAACGGATTGCGCAACTCATCGGTTACGTGCACAACTATCCTTTTTTTTCATTATCACGCACGGGGCGTGTATACCAAGTCACACTGAGACACGCAGTCGGCGCCACCAGGGTATCGTAGGGCACACACTGTCTTCGTTACTTTACAAGTCCAAATGGGTTTATAACGTATAAGTTAACTGTGGAAATATGCCAGATCCAAGTTATCAAATGCTTCCGATATGACCAAGGAGGGTACAGTGTCTAGCCAAAAGACCAAACTTCTGCTTTTGCTAACGCGGTTTAATTACTTCAAACATCAAACCGACAAACATTTAGCTGCAAGAAATGATGAAATAAACTTACTATTGCTTTAGTCTATGTTATACAGGCACACACGATTGGTAAATAAATTATGTTAAAATAGAGTACTCCCTTAAGTTTTATCAAGTTAATTTGAGGCTAATTGAAAATGCAATACCGTGACGGCAAATGAGCATTTCGATTAATGTGCCATGATTACACAAACAGCATGAATTCTTAAGATCATTACAAATTTTTAACTGGCATTATTATTGCCGAAATGCTTTCCTAATGAATGACTGTGTCATACACAAGGATCAAGTCATCAAATTATCTAAATGAAATATATATTAAACTCACCAAAGGTGACAGCACTTATCCCGTTGGCTGCTTACATACACATTTGTTCACTGCATGAACTCTACAAGGCCAGTGAGCCTTAACCAAACAACAGCACTACAGGGGAATCCGGCCAGTCACTCAGGCATGAAAATTTACATGACTTAAGGTAGACTAGAAGCTTATTTGCATAAAACACTGTGAATCTGCTTTGAGAAGCATTTGGTCTTTACAGAAGGATAGAAATGACGGAGCTGAGATGAAGACCAAATTTACAATCTGTTCATCGATCGGAAATCCCCATCGATCGGAAAATCACGCACTGGAGTATCATCTGGAAAATATTGATAGGAAAGTTTCTGAGCGATTGATCTGTGCTGCCAAAGTCATACATGAATTGTCATTGCTTTAGTTCTTTAAATGGAACCTGCAATCGCCATCAAACATGAAACAGAAAATATAAGCACAGCAAATCGAAAAATTGAACTGTGGAAATGGACTTTCCGCGTTAGAAGTCGTGTCTGGATGTGACATGGCATGCGACAATGTTTTCCTCGGACTCGGGAATTAGTCAGCTGAGAGACGGCAGGTGTTATTTATTGACTGGCAACATTTCGCATCACAGACTTGAAAAAAACCCAAGAACATTCATCATTCTCTGCAAGCAAAGGACATTGAAACCGGCGATCTATTTAATGCTGATTTCTGAGTGGAAAAATTAGTTTTACAGTCCTGCATCAATAAGACATAGGATTCTTTGAGCTAATCTGTTTTTTATCGAGAATTATTTCTGCACAGAATCACGTCTTTTTCCGTGCATGGGGAACGCCATCTTGTGTGACGTCACACGCATGAGTGGAGTTAGAAAACAAGGAACAAACGCATATCGGTACTTTTTTTACGCTCGCGCTATGTGGGTGGAACGGCCGTGATATAAAACAAAACATTGCTATTGTTTTACTCTGTAAAAAGGGTTCGACATATTTTTACTAACTTTTGATCTAAATTTTCTGGTGCAAATATCAACTTCCTAACTTCTGGTTACAAAGTGTCCAACTGTTGGGTAAATCTTTTGGAAAAATGGCCAACATAGTAAAAGTGACCAACATTTTGGATTAGCTTTGCCCAAATATTTTACAGTTTAGAATTTTTAAAGTTTCTATGTCAGGCAAAAAGACCTTCAACGACAGACTTGTTTGCATCGCATTTTTTATTAGACTCAGGATCCATTTCACGTGATTCTGTTTTATTTTCCTGATTACAGATTAATTTTTACAACCTGAATTTGCACAAAGGAAAATCTGAAAAGGCTATATTTTCTTACCACGACCAACCAAAACTTTGTAGGAGAGGCACATGTCATACTTCCACTAATCTACAAGAGCAATTCTTTAGTATCAGTTTCTGACTGAAATCTAAGTAAATTTGGTGTAAATACTTCCGCCGCTCAAGGATAATCTGTCAACCAAACGCAAACACAGCAACTGGACCTTTTTTGCTCTTCGAATATTCCATATTAGTTGAAACTGCTAAGTGTTGAAAGTGTTAAGACATGCCATAAAACGCAGGTACAAAACTGAACATATAAAATTTACTTTCACCAGCCGTCGATATGGACTGTCCTCCCCTCGCCTTTCAATACCGTGAACCCACCCCGTCAGACCGTTGGTCATTAGTCTGTGACTGAAAGCATGGGTTGTACGCACAAGTGTCTATCTGCAGGTTCGCTTGGGCTGAAGGTACACATTTGGTGGAGGTTTGATTTCAATAAGCAGGCACTCCATTCTCTCGCGTAGTCCATCAAAAACTCAAGCGCTCTGAAATGAGACATGCATTTGTCATGCAATGGATTCCAGTTCATGCTTTCAAAATAATTATACTGACTGAGAACAAATCCTTGCACAAAAGTGTGGAATTTGCCACCACGGTTAGCGACCCTGTGACCTACGACCTTCAAACACTTCATATAGCTTATCTACTATCTAGGCCATCAAAACTATGTTCTCATACATCGAGATGGAGCTCTTTATTGAAAGAGTTTAATACGACATGGGCGTCTCAATTATTGGAACCGAAATGGTGGACTATGCGTCAGGACACACATATCGAACAGCCATTTTGGTTCCAAAGTCTGAACTTGACACCACTTTCTGTATAAACAGCTATACACCGAGGCACCGTATAATGTCAGTGGCGTGTCCAGCGGGGGGGGGGGTGGTGGTGGTAAGTTACCCCCTTGGGAGAGTCGCTTTTTAAGAATTGAAAGCACCATCACTTTATAAGAACTGTGATTGCCCTACCTGTGGAAATGGAGGGGTTTCTTTTACGGATGAAGAAAGATTGGAAATTCATTTAAGGAGACACATCCTTCCTTTACAAAACCCGGACATGCCTTTGTATCTTCATATAAAAGAAACCAAACTCCATAAAAGTATAGGCCTTGTGTTTTTAATAAAAACTTTGCCAAGGGAAAATACATAAAAATCAAATATAAATTCCTAATTATTTTGTTCAGTGCCTTTGAAGTCTGGAGGGTTTTCAGGAGACACGCACATGCAGGAAGTCGCGTTTTGCTATAAAACGCGGAAGACACGCTGTTCCCTTTCTTTTGTCCCAACAGTTTCGCCCCTTAGTAATATGCCCCATTTAAGATTTGTACACAGAACCCCCCAAGTCCTCGGAGTCATTGCTATCGGATACACCTCACTGTCGCGAGTCCTCAGTCCCGAAGCATAGTAAGCACACACGCACAAGTCTTCGATTTTCATAGGTCCCTTTTGAATAGTCTAATGATTCCCTCGTCGTGCAGTTTTTGCCACAGTTTGCGCTCGTTGTCAACGTCATGAAGTGCCGTCGCCTTGTCGGTGTGCCTCACAAACTTGGTGTCGTAGTAGTGCAATGTGAACCGGTGGTCGTACCCGAACCCGTATATCGTCACCTCGTCGCACAAGTGTATGGACATGAGGACGACAATGGCACCTAGGACAACGACAACAAAAGACCTTTAAAATGTCATCCTCAAATTTTCCCTATGTCCTCTTATCTCGCGAAATATCTTCGGTAATTAAGATCTGTACGCACATTCTCTTCGAAGCTTCCCGTTCAAAAATACACCTTGTTTCGTCTCAGAACATTGGCCGAACACGCCGAACAAAAACAATCAAAGCAAAACAATGGAAGTTGTCATGCTTATAACCCATGCTTGTCAAAATAGCATGGTGTGATTTCAGATTCCATTCTGACACCCTAGCTCGTCAAAATGATCAGATTAAGATTTTTTTTCGTATAAAATCATAATCACTGGCCCTACACTGTACACAATATTGCACTTTGGTGGAGTTCAATTGATCCAGTATTTTTCTTCCTCCATGATTGATCGCGCCAAGCCGGCGTAATGAAATAACGTCGGTAATCTTTGACTGAGCATCTACAGAAATTCTGAACTTCAAAAGGAAATCAGTTATCAAAGGCAACCTCCTGAATGACAAAGAAGTCTTCCAACTGCTCAATCGTGGCGACAACCGGCCGGCCGGTTGACACCGTTTATGTCTAGGTCTATAAACGGCCGCGGCCGTTTATAGACCTAGACATAAACGGTGCATGCGACGTCAACAAAAAGTCCTAGATAAAATCCTGTTAATAAACTGCTTACCTTCAGATTATGAATTAGGCTTCTGAAAAATAATTGACGCCTTTTTCAAGCTGTTTCTCTCCACTGCTTTTGGAGCCCTTTTCGCCGTAATCCTTCACAAACCAGGTTATCTCGGGAACCCCTGAAATATCCCTTCTGTTTATAGCCATCGTGACACCGAGTCCCCAACAGCCTCGTTTACAGTACAGTTGCCCCGAATAAAATTGGCATAAATATTAAGATATATGCCCCTATACGCCGGTTGGGGGGGGGGCTTTTTCTCGGATGACCCTGCTCTTTTGAAACACCGAACTGGCTTATTCTCACCTGTGGTGGGCCTGTAGGCGACACCGTCGAGATAGTTAGCAAAAATGTAACGGATGAAACTTGGGTGGACCAGCTTCAATTTCGATGGTTTGACTTGTGGTTTCCGCGGGAACCTGACAGCGGTGACAACAAATTTACAGAAAGAAACACATTAGTCAACTGGCTTGAAAGACTTGGCTCCAAGTCGGTAACTGATTTTGAATTTGCTGTGTACGCACACCATGTACCATCGCTACGATACAACTAGTCTGGTGCCCTGCCCAAAGATTCCCTGACGACCCTTGATAAGGAATCTTAGGGGTGCAGACCACTAATTCAAGTGAGAATTTC